CCTTCTCAACGTCCCCAACTCCCTATCCTCCCCACCGCCGCCACCGCCATCAACCTTCAACACGTCCGCCACGCCTTCGACACGCGAGCGAAAAATCCCACCGAGGAGAGCGTTGGCGAAAAGATGCCTCAGAGGCAGAATTCTAGTCGATATGGTTAGAATTCGCTCGAATTTGGAATGGAAGGAAGGGAGATGCGTACGCCTACCGAGGTATCTTCCCACCGATGCTCTCTTCAGTCAGACTTCCAGCTTGCGCGTCAAAGACGTGTCGAACGTGTTGAGGGTTGGTGATGGTGGCGAGAGCCTTTTAACGTCGTGCTCGGGACGGGGTGGCGTGGCTTGTTGTGATGATGATGTGGCAGGCCGATGGTAGTGTCGATGGCGTGATGGCGGAAACAAATCGTGATTGATGGTGAAGATGTGGCGGCGCAGCGACCGTAGCATCGATGGCGCGGTTGGAGCTGTCTTTGAGGAATGGCGGGGTGGCTGAAGTTGACCGACCGACGGCAGACGCCATGACGCTGTGAGGATGTCAGTGATGAGTCGTGGAGAGGARGATGGTGCAGAGAACGTACTGCTTTCTGGCGGCTTCCACCTTGAAGAGCCATTGCTACTGCAGAACGAGCAGAAGTTGACGGCCAAGAGCGACCCCGCTGAGATGTTGTCAGTGATGAACGATGATGAAAGATGGTGAAGGTGAACGACGCACCACTAAAGCACTGTCAGGGCCGTTCTCATATATCTCGCGGATGAGGGCTGCAAAATCAGCAGTAGAGTGGTAGTCCATGATGTTGTTGATGAAAAGAAGAAGAAGAGTCAGAGGAGCAGAAATTCGCCAGCTATTTATACTGGCAAGCCGCGTGTGCAGCGCTAGTGCGATCAACARCTGCATTTGGACCAATAGCGGCAGCCTGGCGTGCCCCTCTGCAGCCGCCGTCACTGGGATCACTTCATGCAGTTCGACTCCTTGGTGCACTGCAACGACCTCGACAACACATTCTAACTCAGCACCATCAACAACAACAACAGCAATGGGACTTCCGCTCTGGGTGGAGCCACCGCCTGGCGAAGATGAGCGGCGACGGAAGATGCGGGAAGAGCGGAAAGAGGCTCTGAGGGCGAGAATTGTGTTTCTGGAGGGGATGATGAGGACTATGGAGAGGTTTGGGGCGCAAGAGCCGCGGTCGGTGCCTGTGGAGCACGCAGAGCGCAAGGAGGAGCTTGCTCGCCTTGAGAGCATTGATTCATTGTAGATAGAAATAGTCGAATGATGAGTTTGGGATGCTGCCTTTCTGCCTCTTTCATGGAACACCGAGCACAATTGCTCCATCTTGGACTGTTGAAACGTGATTCCGCAGTAGAGAGATTGAGACCTACAGTAAAGACGCGGCAGGAGCTTCAAGACCCAACAGTGTGCTCTCGGATGCCATTTGAACTTATTCACAGCATTTTTCCTTTTTGCAGGTCGAGGATCAAAACCACGCGCTCTTACGGTGTAAGCAAGTACCGAACAATGGAGCTCAACGCTCGACTACCCATAGGTACACTTAGATGGGAGAGAGCAGTACAGGCTATGTACAACGTCGTAGCGACTTGGTTCTGTTCGCATCATGTAACCACCCATTTTCAACGATTACCTGTGCAACAGATCCACGCAGAGCTGTCAATATGAGGATTTATCATCAACAGCAGCTCCCTGAACTGCTCCCCCGACAAGTTTACAGGATAGTCTGCTAGTTGTTAGGATTCTAGCAGTCCTAGATTTATCGATACTGTAGAGAGCGGTGCCTTAGGACATTGTAAGGATGTATGGGGATCTCTTGTCCCGATGAATAATTCTCATATCGACAGCTCTGGATCCACGACCTCTGTGCCAACGAGACCCGTCTCACGTCGCTGCGCCATCACCACCTGGCATCCGACGAGGGCTAAGACCCAGAGCAGGTCACTTCGCCCGAGTAAGAGGCCGTCCTTGATGCTCGCGGCGCCTCCTCCAGTTACAGCACCTGCTCCCACTTTCGACTCCCTTCTGTGGCCGAGGAGGAAGAGACTGTGCYGCGTGCTGTCCCGTGGTGTCCGGACGCCAACAGCCCGCTACTAGAACCCTCCAGACCGCTGCGGACACCCTTGGTCGCTTTGATCTGGGTGCTGCTGCGTTCTTCGTCTCTCGTTTCTACGGAACCTGATGGCATGGCGTCCGCACGGTGGGTGTTGTTTTCTCTTTCGGATGTCATCCAGTAGGGTGTCAGCTTGGAGGCCGTTCTGCCTCGTTTTTCGTTCTGCGTTGGGTGTCATCTAGCAGGGTATCATGCGTGTTCGAGATATGGATTTCTCTGCCAAGAAAATCTGCCCCTGGAAAGCATCTCCAGTCCCGCGCGACTTTCTCCAAGCTTTCTCTCAAGATTGTATCCATTCCATTCTTGTTCGGCCGTCAAACTCGCAGCATGTGTAAGAGAAGCAACGAGCTTGCATGTTGCTTGCTGTGCAAGCCGGATGGGACTTTGATGTTCCGCCAAGATATCCTTACACGCGACTGGAACCCTGGGCAAACGTCTCTGTTCCGTAGCACTGTCTTCTTCTCGACCTCCTAGATGAGGTCTACGAAAGCCTCCGATCATGCAGTACGCTAGAAACCATATGACTTATGGACTGCTTCCTGTCCCAGGCGTGAATTGTAGCACTTGAGAAATCCCTTTTGTCCATTGCTGCAACTGCGATCTGGCAATGGGTGCTCTGCTCCTGACGAGTAACTCTGATGAGTAACGCAATACTCATGGCTCTAATCTTCCTCGAAGTCGGTTGCGCAACTTCTCCTTCTTCTCCTTGACAGTCTCGCAGACTTCTGATGTGGCCTTCGGCATGCCCAAAAGCTTCTGATGTTGGTCTCTACCCTCGTCCTTGGATTGGATCGCAAGCCCAGGGTTCAAAAAACGCGATGTGCGTTTCAACAGCGCGTATAGGGAGGATATCGAGATCTGCACCAGTCTGTTCTTTCAGGTTCCAGCAGAGCGTATCCCCTAGATGCACCTTTCACCGTGATTCGTGACCTGTTCTTCTCTTTCCAGTGTTACGCGGAACATCCAAAACCAATAGATTGCCAAAGGCTATCGAAGATTAAAGCACCCAGCACCCAGCATACCGTCTTGAACTTGCCATTTCACCTTCTCCACCGCAGGAGTCTCCTGTTCTTCGTCTCTCTCGCCACCACGCTCCGCAACGCGTTCGTTCGCAACACCACCATAGGTAGCCTTTGCAGCATCGGCGCAATTCCTAAGTACTCCACAAAGGGCGACCTCGATCAAGAAACCTCCATGTATTTAGGCCGCGCCCGATATGCGTAAGAACTTGTTCTTAGTACAGCAAGGGCACCGCGACACTCGTGTACCGATATCATCGGCCATACGACAAAGTGTGCGCTCCCTACAGCAAGGGAGAGCGCGTTGAGTGCGTGCTGATGAGTTTTTGAAGGCCTTACGGGTTCCTCGTGGTTTTGACGCGGTTTCAGGTATCCTTCTTTCTTCAGAGCCGCGTCAATACCTGCGTTGAAGCTCGCGGACGCGTACTGGGCTCGTTGTACGCAGACACAAGAGGGTTTGCCGAAAGAACTCCCTACTCGCAAGGAGCTGGAGTGAATAACCAGAGAGCTTTGCGGCGATGAGGCTATGCTGGCTGTAGGGGTCGAGCTGATKCTGGCCCAGCTCCAATACGACGGTACGCATTGCGGGCAAGAGGTTGGGATCACACGATGGAAAGACCGAGACTCATGGTGCGGAAAGGAGATTGAACGAGAATCAGAGCTGCTTCGCTGGTATGCTTCTTTAAGGCGTCGACTTCGATCGTTGCATGCTGTCAACGCTGTGCCTGACTGCACCCGAGCGGCGAAGAGCTCCGCGTCGTGGCCAAATCAGATATATGCGTAAGATCCAGAGCGGTTCCCAACGCTGTTGCCCATCCGGCTCTTCCGGCAAACCCTCTCCCCGAAGCTGTCCGTCTCGCTTGCTGGGCAGTGCGAGAAATCGACTGGCATTGGCGCGTCCATCGTGAGATACCGGTCCAGGGAATACTCAAGGACATTGCCATCATCTGGCCAACGAAAGTCTTGCTTCCTGACTCGAACCCCTGAATTGCCAGATCGCTCCTTCTCTTTTGCATCCTCAAGATCTCTGGCCTCAATTGATGTCGGAAGGCGTCCGCTGACTTCTTCTGCTTGTACATATCGTGGATAACTCACGGACGTCGAGTGCTCGGACGCCAGGCAGGTCGTGAGTAGATGTAGTATGGTGGTTCTAGAGCGTTCGACCCTTGTTTCTCGTATGCGCGCGAAGGTTCGCAAAAGCAATCTGTCTTTGCGCTGTGAGAGCTATTGAGCCATCTCGCGCTGTCTGTCGTTGGTGCAAAGCTCCTCTAGAATCCTCCAAGATCGGTCCCGGGAGATGCTTTTGGGTTGGCGGAGGAAGTGATTGATTGTTCTGGAGATGGTAGCAAGGCCGATGTAGATTGTGTGACTTGCTACTGTCCTGATGTTGGCAAGTGCTGAGCTGGCCGTCGGGTCTGTTTGAAAAAGCGATTGGTGTTATTCCGAGCGCTGATTTATCGCTACAACCTAGATCCTGCTTGAATGGCCTCTCTGGCGGCATTCGGTGCGGCACGATGACCTACACTGAACCAGCCTGCGAGTTATGAGAGTGCTAAGCGGGCTTGGAGAAGCGTCGTGTGTATCTATTCAGTGCTGCTCGCTTGCCGGCAGGCTGCGGCGGTCTAGGGGTCTGCTACGGTTTCATCTTTTGTAGTTCAATTCCCAAACTACACAACACCGGAATCACCTCGACAAGAGGCCCAAAACAACCACAGCTCAACAATCATGTCTACCACGATTGGACTTCCACCGAGTGGCCACCTAGACACACRCACCGCGCAACAGAAGGCCGAACGCCTAGCCTATCTTCGCAAGGGGGTCTTTCAAACAAACGACAAGGACCTTCTAGTCACCATCTCGAAGCAAATCCCGACTCTCCAGTTACGCTTCGAATTTCTCCACGCCTGCGCACATCCCTTCTTCCCGGGCAACGGCCGACCGCGCGGAAACTTCCACGGCTTCATCGGCATCCTTCTCGCCAAAAGGAGCAACATCCAGCGCCATCCAACTCTGCTTCTCAAACTTGTAGAGTATCTTCCTGGACTCTCTGAGCGGCTGTCTGCTGTTGAAGCCCGTACGTCTGAAGGGGAGGGGAGATTCCGCGCGAGACGCATCGCGCTCCAGGCGTTCATCGATAAGAAGGCAGATCATCAATATCGCGTGTGGTGGTTCCTCTTCGCGTTCTTTATAATGCGGTCCATCGATGTGCGCAACACCTGCTCTGGATGCCTTCGAGTGGGAAATGCCGCGTACAAGGACAAGGAGCATCCCCATGTTAGTCTTTGCAAGACGTGCGTGTACCCCTGGTTGCRTTGGCAGAAGTTTGGTAAGGGATCTCCTACTGTAAGTGTTTTGACATCGCTGACGAACGACGAAAGGCGTGAGCGACTTGGCTAGACTTGGGACTTCTCCGGCGCTTCWGGAGCTCCTGGGCATTCACCGAATTGAATATGCTGGCGTTCCTGACGGCCCGGGATCTCTCGACCTTTGGCATCCGGGAGAGGTAAGGTGGAGCTTGAAGTACGGGGATTACATTCCCTGTCCGATGGGCATGGTTGGCTAGGTTAACGAGGGAAAGGGTGGAACACTGGCGCAGCGAGAAGCGCAGAAGCTAGTTGGGGCACTTTAGAAGGCTGGAAAGCGACACTTCCTGAACGTACACTTGATCAAAGTACTGCGAGCTTGGACGGATCCGGTGGAACATCGAGCAGCATGGAGCGGCCTCCAACGTACGGCTGGGATGATGAGCTGCCCTGCAAAGTTGAGAACACACATGAGGCACTCGCGGTCGACAATGCGGCATGCAGTACGTAGGGTAGTTGGAAGCAGGTCGAGATCGCTGCTCAATATACAAATGTCCGTTGCGAGTCCTGAATTGCCTTATCGCGATGTCCTCAGCTTATCCTCTATGAACTCAATACAATGTCACGCACGCAACTGTTCTCGTGTAGTCGATTATTCGAGACCACTTCGATCAGCCTCAATGGCGTGGAATAAGCCGTTTTGCACCAAACGCTAAGGAAGAGGCTGTGGCCGAGCGTTGCCAAGACCTTCACCACAATCAAATCAAGGATTCCGATGACTGATACTGCTGCCTGCTGTCTCTCATTGTAATAATTTAGTCCGTTTGCGCGAGCTGTGTCACGGCGTCGAAAGGCATAAAAGCCCTCAACTTTCACCTCGCACCGCGTGATTTCTTCTTCATCACCACCAACATGATCCATCACAACTCACAAACATCGACAATGAACAAGCACAATCCATCAACATCCATCATGAGCAAGCACAAACCGTCAAACATGCACTCTCGCCAACCCCAAGTCTTTGTCGACGGCAAGTCACTCCATCATCTTCCAACTTTATCACGCACCTTCTGACTCACATCGTCCAGGGCCACCTTCGCGGCTCGCTTTTGGCATCGACTGTCGCTGCTCAAGACCTGGGCAGTGGGGTGGCGAGCTCATCCAGAGCAAAGTCACTTCGAACGTAAGACCCATTTTACAGCAGTCTCAAACTTGTGCTCCGGCTCAAATTTGTACTGCGGCGGCGCGTCAGTCTTCCTCTTCTTTCTGCTTCGCATTCGCTGACTCGAATCACAGTCGGCTGGCAATCACCACACAAGAACTGGGCCGTGTTGTGGCGAGCTTGCAAAAGCAAAGTCACCTCGAACGTAAGACCTGGTGGAGGTGGCGGTTATTGCGTTGGCTGGCAATCACCACACATGGACTGGGCGGTGTTGCGGCGAGCTTCCAAAAGCAAAGTCGCTTCGAACGTAAGACCCGGCGGTGGAGGTGGTTACGGCGGAGGAGGTTGCGGCGGCGGCGTTGGCTGGCAATCGCCACACATGGACTGGGCGGTGTTGCGGCGAGCTTTCAAAAGCAAAGGCGCTCCGAACGTAAGACCCGGCGGTGGCGGTGGCGGCTACGGCGGAGGAGGTGGGGGAGGCCGCGGTGGCGGCAACAGGCGGCCGTTGGCGAGCTTCCAACAGCAAAGTCAACGAGGACGTAAGACCTGTCGCTATTGGGACTAAAGGTGGAGCCAGAGGGCAGTCGAGTCACTGAGGCCGATCTCCACGGTCTGGTGGCTCGGGACGTAAGACCCTTATTGGATTGTAATCAAAATGCAATCTTTTTACAGTCATTGTCCCATTCAGATCAGTTTGTGATGTCTGTCCACGCCCTTCGCTTCCGCATGTTGTCCTTTTCGCTGAAGGCATTCTGTCCCGTGCTCCGAACCGGATGTGCTACATCCCTGCAAGGATTCCTTTTCCCCAGATTTGGCCCTGCATGAAGATCTTTTGTGCCTTGCAATTAAAAATTTTGCAGAACCGCGAAGAGCTCACTGGCCAACCTTCACCCATCCAGCAGGAAGATGAAGACATCACCGGCCAACCTTCATCCATCCAGCAGGAAGATCACGAGGACCCTACCAACAACCCTGTAACTGTTACCGGAAGCCATGCTGCGCCATCCATGGATACCCTGAGGAGTACAGCCGCAACAAGCACTTGTACATTTGTGAAATCTGTCTCAAGTWCATGAGCTCAGACTATGTCGCGTGGCGGCACAAACTAAAATGCGCTGCCAATGAGCAGACGCCGTAAATGCTTTGCAAGGACTTTTGAGCTTGATACCCCAGCTGTGAGTGAAGCATGCAGTCCTATCGACAATGTTGAGGTCACGTCTCTTCCGAAAGACTCACCAGCTCCGATGCCGGGGTTTTCTGTGCAGAAACGACTACACCACCACAATCAGATCAGCCGTGAAGTATCACCCTGCCCCACAGCACTCCGGACGCGTCGAAGCACGACATGGTCTGGCACAGCTCCAAGAAAGACCGCGTCCGCCCATTCTCAGCGCAGTAGATGTGAGCAGCACTTTTGAAGTCTTCTCGCCCCATAGCGACGCGAAGCATCTTTGGATCTACAAGCACCTCAAACGGATGGAAGAAAGAGCACGAGGTTTGGAACCAGACAAGGCTGATATTGCTAGCATCTTCGGAGGCTTCTCGCTGCATTCCGCAACAGGACATCGACGAACCTCCATGTTCCTCACGCCGCTTTGAGAAGGAATGGCAGCGTTCAGTCCGAGGCCGTCAGATGTGGCCAGCATCCTCGATTTCATTCTATCAAGCGCTCGCCGCGATGCAGCAACGATCTTGCAAGTACACCACTGCAGCCTTCCGGAGACGCAAACTGCCATTGGTACCGGCGCCAAACGCCGATACAACAACTCCAGCTTCGGGGTGCGATCGAACATCGACTCAATGGCAGGTCTCGTTTGCAGTCACAGAACGAGGAGAAGGTTCGATAGACAGATTGGCAAAGTTGGCCATCGGGACATCAGGTCATGAGAAAGGAATGTGGTTGTACAGTGGGAGATGCCGGCAGCTCTTGGGTCGGCCGTGACCAGGGGGCAATCTTGTACCCGGTGAGGAATCGGCTACCACGGGGACGGGCAGCCAGTGGATGGAAATGGTGCAAGTTTGTGCAGAGTCAACGAGGAAGGATATCATTCCATGAGGCCAATATCAGTCAGACTTCTCCATATCGACGGCCTTGCTGGGTGCGGCTTCATCGGGGTAAGCTTCTGCAGCACTTCCATCTCGCAGTTTGCCTCTGCTTGAACCTGGAGTCCCGGTGTACCTACAAGATACACACGCTGATTCATGCTTGCAGACTTTGGTCTCGCTCTCGAGACTCCTATGGAAGGATGGAATCAATKCGGTCGCCGAGCTGGAGCTGCACGCTGAAGCGGAGGAACCGGCAATCGCAAGAGATGTCTACGCCCTGCACCTAGAGATTCCAATTGATATGCCAGGCTCAGACATCTTGTTGTGCTTATCATATTCTTTGGCGTTTGACTTCCGACCCATGCAAAGTGAGGTCCCAAGAATTTCCGTTTTGGGAAATAGTTGACCGCCAACGCCACGGCTGATCCGGAACGCCGGAAGCATCGTACCCTCTACCCAACTATCTCATGCATCTCTCCAGCGCATTACCGCTTCTAGCTTCAGGCCATACTGTTGCAGACAAAGGCGGCCTTCTGTGCAAACGTGCAAGAAACGTTTCTTGGTTCCGACTTGCAGGTTCTTGCGCGGACAGTCTTCACTTACCAAGCTGAACACTTTGGCAAGTTCTGCTCTGCTAACCTGCCCTTACTCCTTAATTCTGGAAGATCCGCAGCATTTCAGAAGATCTCAAGCACAGCTATCAGTCCGAGATCGTTTTGCAACCTTGCTTTTGAAAACGAGTATCGCCATGTTACTTGCTGATCTACCGACAGTTCCGCAAACGTCGTCAATCACATCAGATTCTCCCTGCTTCAGTCACAATCTGCTCTACTCGATCCGGAGATGCGGTTTTGCCTGCATGCTCAAACTGCAGTGGTGTGATGGAGACTTTCAGCCTGGACAGATTGAGCCACAACAAATCTTCCACTACACAATCTCCGGCATGAAGTGACATGCATCGTTCGCATGCAGAATGCACAGAGTTGTCAAAGAGGTACAGAAGTTCCTCCAAAACTCAGGGATTCATCCGATCTACAGACAAGACGCCTTCTCTGCGCAGCTCTTGTCACAAGATATGCAGAAAAACTTCTCCAAGACTCCCGTACCGAAGTACGAACAGCGAGGAGGGCATGTTGTGTAAAGCTAAGATCAAGGTTCGGCTCCTTCAGGTTCCCCGACTCCATCATCACCGGTGCAGCAAACTCTGATGACCTTCCACGTCTTCCGGGAGAACGTCGCAGACCCTTCTGTGCTCCTGTTTGTCTTCATTACACTGGCAGCAGCATCCCCTCATTCTTACGGTCAACTCGCCGAGAGCTGCTCACTCTCCCAGGAAAAGTCAGCTAAGTTTTTCGGAGCCCGCCCCGAGAGCGAGACTGCTGTTGAAGCACAGTTGCATGAGTGCAAGCCTGTGAAGGGGGTCGAGCGTCTGTGGCAAGTGAAGTACTACAGGCGATAGCTGAGCCATGGTGACTTTTCACTTCGCGGTAGTTTGCTCGGGTTAGTCCTACAACCTCTGTCTGCAATCTTGAGGGCTCTCGCTTGACGTACCAAAGGAAGCACTCCACGCAGAGCTGACTCCGGAAAGAACCTGACAGGCTTCAGGCCGCAACAGACTGGCTCGAAAAATTTCCGGGCGACGAGGTGGATCACAAGTTCCAGAAGCCTGGTGCTACGAACAACCGCGGGAGGTGCCCATGAACACCATGGCCATCTCTGGGTACATCAACTTCATCCACATCATCACTTTTGCCCAAGCGGCCACCGCCGGATCACTCACGGCTTCGGCCGCGATGCACGTGATGTCTTGTCTGCTCTCGTTCTGCTTGCCCGTGGTGACTTGCCATCGGACACCTGCAGCATCCGCGGCGCTGATGCTCATGAACCAAACACTCTCGTTCCATCTTTTGGACTCAGTAAGCACGGCTTTTTTGAGCTTGTCAACTCCATCTCTCACGAAGGTCACGTCCATGGTAATCGAGCCAACCTTCAGCTGGACCTCAGGAGCCGCCTTCTGATACCACCAAGGAACATGAAGGACGGTTTGGCAATGCTACTTTGCTGAAGGGCGTGTACTTGCGTGCATCGTAGTCAGATGTACCGAATGAAATGCACTCCGAAGTGAATGTGCTGGCACTTTCCTCAAGCTAACGCTACCAACCCGGAGTTGACCGCAGGTACTCGCTGGCTGGGTTTCACTACCGCAGAGCGTGTCTCTGTCTTCCGTACCAGATGGCATCGATCGGTTCAGCGCTGATCTCGCCAACGTTGCACCTTTCTACCCGAACGAGACCTTCACGCGTGGATGGGTCTGTCGAGCGACACCATGTCCCTCAAAGCCACGGGCACAGACATCACAAATCTCGACACATCAAGCTCCGAGTTCACTGTTCTTGGACTGAACCAAAGTCTCCGCCACTTCGTGCCTCTGCGTAGTCACCTAGTTGCTTCCACTCTGCAGCAGCTACTTGCTTCCTCTTCTCCACTGTGGACGAGGACTTTCCCTGCGACATTGCACCTGAGCTTGTCATGGACGCTTTGCAGGGGTTTGTGAATGACACGGTAAAGTCTSTCTTCTCTCACTCCAACTGCGAGAGCATCAAGGATTTTGCGGCTCATGGTACCGGGGCGGGTACTCCGGTTGTTGGTGTCAACTGTAACCACGCAAGGAACGAGGCATAGTAGTACTACATGGAATGATGAGAAAGTATGTGAAGGACGGACGGACAGACGAGGCGGATTTCCTGTAGCAGTTGACGTGAGCTTCAACGGGGCGAGGAACGGACACGGCGGCTTTGCGAACTTTGAGATGGAGCAGCAGGTAGCGGCTCTCGTTTCGAAAACGTAAAATGTAACGGATTCTTCTTGCAAGGCATCATTGCGGTTGGCTGATAAGACAATTTCTCACTTGAAGCATCATTCACTTGCAAGGTGATTTTCTCTTCGTGGATCGACCATGGAGTGCCGAGCACACTTCCAGTCGCTGGAATACCAGGTAGAGCCAGTAACTAAGCTGGTTTGGCCAGGCAGCTCGCTGTGCTCAGTTGTGGAGATGTGCCCCGCCATGGAGACACAGGCAGCAAGCCACAACCCAGCAATGTCGAAACGTGCTGGGCAGCTGGGGTCTTGAGTGCGGCACCAGCTCAGCTCTGGTTTCAAGCGGTAAACCACCGCATGTAATCAAGCCCTCAATAGACCCAGCTTTTGCTGAGATCTTGCAAGTATGATCTTGTGGTAGATGAGAAGGTGATGGAACTCTCCAAGCTTCTGCGCCGGAGTCGCTTGGACTTGATGTCTGCGCCTGAAAAACAGTCGCGTGATTCGTGGTTGTGGACTCCTATATTTGGACTGCTCAACATGTTTGGGCAACTGGGCTCTGCAATGGTGGCTGCTGCCAAGAGACCATGGAAGGCTTCGATACGGCGAGGAAAGGACAGCGCGGAAGGGAATTGAGGTGGGGGAGAAGCAGCAGCATAAGCAGATGTCCTGGACCTGATTGTCGGTCGATGAAAGCTGCGT